CTATGCGGGGAGTGAGTGGAAAATGTTGGAAATCATGCTTAGCAACGACCGCTTATTATTCAATCCAAAAAATCACGTTGTGTTACCGTATGGGGAACGAAGGAAATGCAAACAAATTTTCAAAAATGCATACTTTATTCAAAATTGAACTACTACAACATATATCATTCTTTTGTCCTGATATTCGATCAACTCTCAGATTCTAACTAGTTTCTAGTCCTCCTCCGGTTCTTCGTCGGAAGGTTCCGGCTCCTCTTCGTCCTGCGGTTCGGGCTCCGGTTCGGGTTCAGGCTCCGGATCAGATTCGGGTTCGGGCTCCCGTTGTGATTCGTGGTGATCACGATGGTGATACTGTGAATGTTCTTCTAATTGCTCATCAGCCATGCTTTCTATCTGTGCGACCTGTGAAAAGAAAATACCACACATCTCATTAACATAATGCGCGCTTAACAACAACACACATCTCATTAACATAATGTGCGTTTAAAACCTGGTTTACACTATCAAAGTTTCTGTGATCACAGTAGGAATTAAGTTTGCTCGATTAAAAATGGCCGTGAAAGATAAGATGGGGCCTAACTTGTGGAATATTTCGAAAATTAGACAAGATTTTTGTTTAGTGTCGCCCAATTTAAGTTATACAAATTGTGGCAAGAGCATATTTCATAGTTCCTCCTAGTAGTTATTCGAGCTGCTCGATTTTGTAATTTCCAATGGTGATTCCAGGTATAGACTGAATTTTGATCAAGGCAAGAAGAACGAAATCCAACACCACAGCTAGAAAGAGCGTCTTAGAATGAGTAAAACTGCAAAGATTGGTTGCTAAACGTTGTAAAATAAAGAAAATATAGCCCTGTGAAATTCGCAAATTTCGTATATATTTGTATTACGCGCGTTAAAAATCAAATATATGACGAAATTTGCGAACTTCACAGGGCTTTTTCCTCATTTTACAACAATTCGCAACCAAACTTTGCACTGTTACTCATTTTAAGATGCTCTTTCCAGCTATGGTAGTGGATTTCGTTCAAAATTTCGTCTTAGCTAGAATCATGTATTAGAGTTTGTTTAGCCACATTAACCAAAGCAATCTTCCCTCTCCATGGATGAACCTTACCTCATCTCGTATTCCTTCGGTCTTCCTGACCCATGTATTGAGCTCGTGTCGACAGCCAGCCACGATCGTATCTAACTTCGCCACCTCCCGTTCCCCGTGTTCAGCTCGCTCTTCCATTTCTCTGAGTTGATCTTCCAAGAACTTTAATCATACACATAATTTGATTACAGGAATTATTAATTTGATTCAAAGGGTCAACCACTAGAAATCCTAGGAGGAGTGTGTTTGAGTGGAGGGGGGAGGGCAGATCCCCCCAAAAATTCACCCACGCATTTAAAAGAAACCGGATTTCAGTATACCTTAGGGAAAGTACATTTATTATGCCGAGGGGGGGGGGGATGAAGATGTTA